CCTTTTTCCGTTTTTTTTCCCCTGGGTTCCCAAGACCCGGGGAAAAAAAAAGGGGGTTTTTTTTTTTTTTTTTTCTCTCTCTCATATTGGGACATGGACTCGTTTACCGGTATTTCTATGGACAAGCCGTCGATATTTACTGGAGGCAAAAATAATAATAAAAAAAAAAAAAAAAAAAAAAAAAATCAGACATTAAACAACTTCTGCAATGCTTCAAAATATTAGCAAACATACGGAAAATTATTGTATTGTCAGATATTTAAACGGTTAAAAACCTCTGGTAGGTTTATAATGCCCTACATATTTTTTTTTAACAGATCTGTTGTATTTTTCAATACATTTGTTTTCTTTTTTTTTTTTACTGAAATGATGCTGGTAAAATGAAGAATTGTTTACAGATCTCATGTTTCAAGATGCTGTTTGAAATCTGAACCGATCATCTCGCCGCTCGGAGGGACATTCAAACAATTAAAGTAATAAAACAAATCAACACACTGTTACAGGGTAGAGGCTGATTACACAATAACTTTGCGTTGGCATGTTTTGTTGAAGGATTCTGCCTGTGAGACTCTGCTTTGAATTAAGCTGTACATGGACGTGTTAGTCAGGAAAAGTACACCTTTATTTTTTACAACTGTGTGAAGAGCAGTTCACACACCACACCATCGTTTTGATCTATACCTCCAAACAGAATAGCAAAATCAAATTATGTATTTATGTATTATATATCTATATGTGTAACCTTCTGTCTCTAAATAAAAAACACTAGCTGCTTAATACACTAATATGCTAAATCTCAGATTCATTTCTGAGTGAAACTGATGCTTGGATCTCCGTTATTTACTATGTCTGCTGGAAAACGTTGCACTCCAATAAAAAGTAGAATATATAGATTATATGGCTGGTCGTGTTTCTGAATGTAAAAACACTTTTTAAAAGTGATTTGTGTAAATTGCTTGTTACATGAAGTCTGGCCTCAGTTAAGGAGGCTGTTTAGACTTTTTATAGGCAAGGGAACTGGACCTTCACATCTGGAAGCAGATATTTATGTATGCTGTTTAAAAATACACCTGTTTTATTCTTATGTCTGAATTTGTTGCGTATTCATAGCGCTTCACTTTATCCACTTTTTATGTTACGGCCTTTTTCCAAATTGTGTTGCCAATTAATGTCTTTCCTTAAAATTCTAGGAAAGAAATATACAAATACTCCATTTTGACAATCTGGGGAAAACAAGGTTTTTGTAAATTTATTAAAAATAGAAAACCCAGGAATCACATTAACATAAGTATTCACAGCTCAAAATTTAGATATTTCTACAATTTGTAGTGAAATGCAGTTGATTGGAGGTGATTTGGAAAGGCACATACCTGTTTATATGGGGTCCCACAGTTGACAGTCCAGGTCAGAGGTCAAACACCAAGAGTGAAATCAAAGGAATTGTCTGTAGTCCTCCGAAACAGGATTGTCTTGAGACACAAATCTGTGAAATGGTCCAGAAACATTTCTACTGCTTTAAAGGTCGGTGACAATGAGCTCAGTGATCTCCATCAATGTTAAATGTAAAAGACATTTGGAACCAGCAAGACTCTTTCTAGAGCTGGCCGGTCATCTGGACTGAGCAACTGGGGGAGAAAGACCTTCGTCAAGAAGGCGACGAAGAACTGAATGGGCACTATGTCAGAGCTCCAGCATTCCTGTATTCCTGTGTGGAGAGAGGAGAGCCTTCTAGACGGACAACCATTTCTACAGCCATCCATTGATCAGGCCAGTATGATTGGTGGCCAGAGCCTTTAATGAATGACACATGCAGCCCAGCCCAGCTAGAGTTCGTCAAATGGCAGATGAAGGACTCAAATAATGATAAGCAAGATTCTCTGGAATGATGCAAGATTCTCTGGAATGATTAGACAAAGATTAAACTCTTTGGGTGAAAGCCAGGCCAATACCA